GTGGTCACATAATAATAATTTAGTCAAAGAAGAAAACATTTCTCTCTCTCTCTCTCTCTCTCTCTCTCTCTCTCTCTCTCTGTTTGCCAACATGGCAATATTGAGAACAATGGTTACGGAATTTTTTTTTCAAAAAGTGGCCATGGTCACAAGTTTTTTTCGGTTGAAAAAAAAACACTACACTGTCTTGCTATAGCGATCGACAATGGTTAATCATCACTTTTTACTTCACATTGGAAAATTCTTCTTTTTTTTGAATTGAATCCAAGAAATCAAATGAAAAAAGATGGATGGATGGAGAGAAAAACCCATTAATGTCAAAAAAAAATGAAAAATTAATAAAAATTTTTCATCACAATGTCATCATAATCCCTTTGCATGCATGCAATGCAAACACATCAATCTCCTTTTTCCCTCATTTCATTAGAATTTTATTCTTCAAAAAAAAAGGTAGTTAACTGCTACTAATCATCATCATTTTGATGATGATGATGATGATTGCTTGATTGTTAATCACACACTCACTATAGTTCCAATTAGTAATAATGAGCTCTCTAAACAATGTCTATGGCCAATGTGCCATTTTTTAAAAAGCATCAAATAAGCATGTGATGAAAATATTATTTAACACACAAGAATTGCCTTTTATAATTGCAATTTCAAACACCACGTGCTTATATTCTGGTTTTCTTTTCAATTTTTTGATGTTTAGCATCCCAAAATGATTGAATTAGGCGCAAATAATGATTCTATCATCGGATGACCTCTATATATTTTCCTCTATATCCAGCTCATTTTGAAGATGAAGGGGGTATAGTCTATTTCAGAAAATCTTGTTTTTTGTTGTTCAGGTTGAAATTTTCGAATGAAAATACTTCTACTTCTGCAACTCCACTGTCGTTGATTTGTTTCGTTTCAAAATATAGCTGCTGCTGCTGCACCTCGTGGTTGTTTTTTTTTCTTCTTCTTGATTTTCACCCCATTCTATTTCGATCATCCAAGCAGCAGCAGCAGAATGTTGTTGTTGTTGGATTGGATTTGCCCCTTTTTGTTGTTGTTGTTGTTAAAAATTGTTGACAACAACAACAACAGAAGCCAAACAATAAAAAAAAAACTTAAATTCAACCAGATTGATGCGCATGATCCGGGTTTTTTTATTCATAATGACAGGCGTGTTTTTTTTTATTTTTCTGAATTCCGAAAAATCAAAAAAACCATGCATGCATGTTTTCAAATGAAAAAAAAAACAAAAATGCTAACCACGTGCGCATACGACTATCAACATGATTCGTAAATTCAGAAAACAGGATTCAATTTTCCAAAAATGATAATAATGATACACAAGGAGGTGGAGTCGTAGTAGTGGTAGTCATTTGATTTATATCCACCACAAGAAAACAATACAAGTGCATGAATCCACCGCACACACATGTATTATCCATGTGTGTGTGTTTGTGATGAATTTTTAGCCGCACGGCGGCATTACTGTGATAATGATAATGACACACCTCGTCACATTACACAACAAGCGCATGCGTATTTCAAATGAATTCAGAATGAAAAAAAATGAATGATTTTTTGCGAATAACCTGCGAAGAAGAAAGCAAAAAAAAAACAATGGTTATTATCAAAAATCAAATAAGTTTCTTTCTAAAGTGAAAAAAATCCAATGTATCTTATCCGATGATAATTTGAACCCTAAATTAATGAGTTTTGAGTTTGAGTTGAGTTTTTCTGTATATTATCCAATTATCGCTTTTGATAAATTATCAAACAACAATCGAACACAAGGTCACAACGATGCAGGTTTAATCGTTTGTTATTTTCCTTTCCATTGATAATAATCGACTCTCTCTCAATTATTATCGTTAAAATTGGAAAAATTATCGATTTTTCTGTTTGTTTGCATTTTCAATCAACCAAATAAAGATTATATAACAATTTTTTTATTAATTTTTGTTCATTATTTAGTATTAATATCATTAAATAAATTCAACAGGTGAAAACCAATAGTTATAAAACAAATACCTAATGAATCGGATAATGTTGTTGCTAAAGGCATTACAGAATTATCTGGATTTATACCATGATTCCATGTCCAAAATACAGCCAAATAAGATAAATATAATAATATTATAATTTGTAAAAATACAGCTATTAAATGTGTTAGAATAAATGCTATTGTAAAATGAAATGATGGTTCATTTAATAAATGTTGTACACCGAATATAATTGATAAAAATATTAAATGTGATATTGGTGTTATGAATGTTAACATTCTTACTAATTTTGAATGTAATTCTTTCGAAAAGAATACATGTAATGGACTAAAAAACCATTTTTTCGTTGTTTGTCGCTCTTGTTGTTGTTGAAGTTCAGTTGATGAAGAATCTTGTTTCGTTTTTGTCATTTGTGATGTTGAATGTAAAAATGTTGAAATACGACTTGTTTGTAGGCCGGCAGCTTGTGCACCAACACCATCAACTAATGGAAAAAATGTTGATATAACTGGCCATTGTTCCATTGATAATTCCATTATTAAACCGGCTGGTTTACATAAAAGTATAGCAGCTAACAGTGGTATCCAACCAGAATATATAACCGAACGTGTAGAATTATTATGACGTGCTAAATAAATAAATACAGGTGCCATAATCAAAACTGTTATGGCAAGAATCGTTACTGAAATATATAGCTGATTCTTTGGATTCTGACTATATAGTAAACTATTGATGTTGGCAAGAATTGCTACTGTTGATGCATCACCCATACATGCCGCAACCGGTGCAGATATATTATCTGCTCACCCGAGAAAGAAAGAAAAACAATTGGTCAGATGACATTAGAAAATATGGAATTAGAAAAGTCAAACCTGGATTAATATTAATACGACGACCAATAATAACTAGTATGGTAACTATTGATGCAATCAATGTATTCGCCAGAATTGATGATATTACAGAACCGGCGCATAAAATAAATGTTGTTTCTAATGTGATTTTATCACGAGTTGTTTCACGAATTGTCGATATTAATAATGACATAAATGCAGCAAATAATGACATTAATATTGATTGACATTCAATAACTAGGAAATTTCCACCAACAACCTGACCAATATCTTTCCATGTATCCATACGACCAAGATTAGCATTAGTCGACAGACGTGATGCTAATGTTGTTTCAATATTACCAATCATACCGATAAATGCTGGTACCATTATTGATATTTGTGGTATATCAATGAAAACGGGCCATTCAGCAACATGATTCAAAACAATACCGGCCAAACCACAACCTAAACCGGATAGGAAAAACGGTATTATCATTTGGCGGAAAATTGTCCATGAATTTTGTGCCTGATAGCCACCACCACCATGTTGATGTTCGATATTTTCAATCATTTTTGTCTAATCAATTTACAATCCAATTCAATCCATAACCTAATTCCGAATGAGCTATATATTTTTTGTTCATAAAAAAATATGAAAAAAAACCGTAATAAAACGATAAAATAATCGTAATTTTATAATCTTCTTTTCTTTTTTCAAAAAAAAAAATGATCAATAACGCCATCTATTGCCCGTGAATCCATGAATGGAATTTTTCAAAATTGACCTGATTCATGGCGCAATCTCATTCATCAATTCTATACATTTTAAGAATTTCTGTATACAGAAAAAAAAGGGAAAATTGGATGCTAAAATGACTAACTATAGGCATCGAATGAGTCAATTGGATGCTACACTAGCATTGTGCGTATTTTTTGTTTGTTTATCATTTTTTGGGCAACCAGGCATTTGATTGATCCATTTGATTAGTAATCGATAATCGTAGATGTAATTTTGAATCAGGTTAGAATAACCAAACCTAAAATCAAATTAAGGGCTTCCAAAAACAATCATCCATTCCATCAAAAATGAATATCATTCATCATTCAGTAGCATCATTATTCAATTACTATATCACTAATGGACGACATGTTAGCCTGGTTGCAATCATTTGTAAGTTGTAATTTTTATAAATTAAAAATTAATAATTATAATTTTTTTATTACTTTTACAAAAGTTTTATTATTACAATTTTTGGCACAAATTTCGGCACAATCATCAATGTTGACTAATCGTAAAATTAAACCACCATCACAACAATCACCATCAATCAATTCAACAATCAAAACATCAAGCGGTGGTAATCTTGTATTGGCTAATAAACAAGCAGCACCAAAATTTAGTTATGTTGTTTGGGATGAACAAGGAATGGTCTGTATTTTGGCTAAATTTGAAGCAACACTGACGATTACATTCTATACACCAAGTGGTGCACATGTAAATATTTTTGGATTTTTGATTTGTTGATTTTTGTTTATAAAAATCTAACTTCAAAATATTCTTTCGCAGCAATTAATTGAAAAAATACCGATCGATGCAAAATCCAAAGGACGTTGCGATTATCTGTTGGATGAAAAACCCGTATTAGATGTTACATGGATTGGTGGTTTTACATTTCGTATTATATTCGAAAAAATTATCAATTCTGATGATAATAGTGTTGATAGATGGGGTATCAATTCTATCGACTTGCTTTACAATACTGCTGATTCATTATTTCGTGGTTCGGTTGATGGTGGTAAAAAAGTTGCACGTACAAAACCCGGATCATTGGGAATGTTTACAACCGCTATGGGTAAATCATATTTTTGTCCATCACCACCGATTATTAACCTTTATGAATCAAAAACTGGTAAACCAAGTGTTGTTGTACGACTTACGAATGTACATTTGCAAGCATTTCAAATTGAAATGGGAAAATTTGCACCAAGTAATTATTTTTATTTTTTGTTTGAATTTTCTGAAAACTTTCTTAAAATTTTTCTCGTTTTTCCAATTATTTAGTATCACGTTGTAGCCAGGTAAGTTTTGGTTCAGGTGTTGCAGCACCATTATACGTTAGTCTGGAACAAGATGATAGTGTACCAGTTGTTGTTGGTACACTGACGGTTATTGTATCGATTTTGGTTATTGTTGGTTATGCTGTCTATAAATCATGGGTATTTAAACCGGTTGATTATGATACAATGATCTGAAATGAATCAATGAAAATTATCGCTTTTCAACTGATGTTATCCATAAATCCACATATCAAATCATCAATCCAAACAATCAAATGAAACCAAGTCTTCCAAAAAACCAAAAAAACCACAGTGAAAACTAAACCGAAAACAAGTCTTCCATTTGTTTTTTGACATATGAAAAACATTATAAATCTTTTCTTCTCATTTTTGTGTCTTCTTCTATCTACTGTTTGTCTTCCAAACCTTCCAAAACAAACCATTTTTTGATTATATAATGTTAGTTGTTATCTTAATAAGAATAATCTTATCTTATCTATGATTTTAGTTTTGATTTTGTTTCATCATTATCTTTTTGTTTTGTTTTAAATATTATGTGTTATATTTAGTAGAAAAAAAATGTTATTTGAATATCAATAAAAAAAATTTTGAAAACAAAAATGATGAAATATTTTCAGATTTGAAATGCTAGATGGCGATACGTGTTCTATGAAAATCAATAGAGATCTGGAATACAAGGGGAAATAAAAATTTTTAAATCTAACCTTGAATGAGAAATGAAATGTAAAATGTTAAAATCCATCATATAATGGATGATGTTAACTAACTAAATTCTAACTTCTAACTTTCTTTACTTTTTATTAATTAAATTCCTTTTCGGAAAATTAGTATATTGTTTTTTTGCACTCTGTTAAGACAAAAGGATAGGAAACAAAAAAACCAATTAAACATTTTCATCATTTTTTTTTTGTTTTTATCTCGCTAATTAAATCCTTGTAAATGAAATAAATATTTTTTGTCTTGTCATCATTAGAAAACGAAACAAAATGAAACAAAACAAAAACAAAACAATGCCAGGATTCCCAAAAGTATTTTATCCTTGTTTATGAATGTTTAGTTAAGTTCAATGTTCATTGAAGCATTTATACTAGAGTGAAGAAGAAGAATATTCTTTAAAATGAAAGAATTTCTTTCGAAAAATGGTTCTGTTTTGTTATTTTTGGACAAAAAAAATGGACAAAACAACAACAACAACAAAGAATTGTTCTTTTTTCATCTTTTCAACCAAAAAATTGTTGATTTTGCAATTTTTTTCAACTTTGTTTGCGTTTTTTTCCATTGAAAAACAGAAAAGACACTGTTTCTAAAGATGTTCAATTGCAAAATTCATTCATTTTTTTTCTGAACTTTATTCCCACGCATTTTTTTCAAAAATTAATTTGTTTGTTTTAAAAGTACCCTTGTGATTGGAAAAACAATCTTTTTTTTTTGTTTGCCCATAGAAATTCATACAAATAAACATGATGAATGGCGGTGGTGGTGGTGGCAACCAAATGAACAGATCGATTTTTTTTGTTTCTGTTGTTCTTTTGCAGAATATTCTTTCTTTCTTTGTTTTTTGAATAGGTCACCCTTTTCATTTTGTTATTACAAACGAACAAAAAAAGAAATTATTTACTATTCCATTATTATTATGTAATTCAATTCCATCACATCTTTCTTTTTTTTTCTCTCATTTGGGAATCATATTATATGACAAACAACCAAACAACAACATTATCTATACAAAAGAATGGAAGAAAAAAACAACCAAATATTTTTGTTTGATGTCTTTTCCACCCTCTCTTTTCTATCACTATCCCTTTTCTTGTTGTTGTTGTTAAATTATTTACATTGATTTATTCAGTTTTAGTTTCAGGGTGATCTTTTTTTCAGTAGATTCTTTTGAGTTTATATTCGATTGACGCCCACATTATCATCATCGAAAAGAAATTCTTCAAAAATAGTGGTAACTGAATTAGAAGTAGAAGTTTTACTAGCAGATAATGGTTGGTTTTGAAGTAGAAATATATTCAATTCGGCTAACAGCATAAATTTTCTTTGTCAACTATGTACCCAGAATATATAATGATGAATATGGCGTTGCACTGAGTTGGCGCCATTCATTAACAGAAGATTTTTTTTTCTTCATATTTCAATGGCCATATATCTATCGTGTTATGGGGTAGTAAACTTGCTTGCTTGCTTGCTTCTTCTTCATCATCGATTTCTTCTACTTTTTGCTTTTGCTTTTGATCTTGATGAAGATGATGATTGTGGTTGTGTTGTCGCTGTGTGTGTGTGGACAATATTATTATTATTATTATTCTTCCTTCCTGGGTTCATAACATTTTAGTGGCAAGGCAAAAAAAGAAAAGCAAAGCAAAAATTTCACCATCAAATTTTTTATGTCCAATGTGTGTATTCTATGAGATTCTTTCTAATTTTGTCATCCGTAATTGTGTAACCATTGATAATAATAATGATGTAACATCACTGAAGGCATCCTGATATTATACATGTTCGGTAATTATCATTGAAATCATCATTGCAAACAACAAGAATTGTATCCAAGGAATAATAACCCTCGCACATCCACTAACCAAATTTATTTTTTTCGGGTTCTCCTCTTCATTGTAATAAAAAAATGTTCAATGACAATAAAACGACAGTCTATATCCACAGTGGTGTCTGGTGTGTGTACCTGTAATAAAGATATTTTTAGTGGTGATAATATTGGGGGCATCCATATTTTTTTCTTTTCGTCTTTCATTCTTCATATAATAATGTCAATAAGTAATGTTTTCTCTCGTTGTGTGTGTGTTGAAATTTATTGATTTTTTTTCAGCTGCTGCTGCTGTTGGTTAATATTCTTTTTTCTCATCCAATATTACATTACATGCAGCCAAAAATAATGTTACAAAATGTTTCAAAATAAATAGAAAAACAAATTATTCTGTAAACAACAAATAAACAAACAAACATTAATTTTTTACATCATTAAATATATTTTATGTAGTGTGAATTTTTTAAAAAAAACACAGAAAAACAATTTTAAAAATTTGTGAAACATCATTTAAAACATCAAAAATTCATTCAATTCATTCAATTCATTCAATCTGGTAATATTCATAGTTTTTTACGTTTTTTTCCAACTGTCATCATCATTGTTCCCTATGGATTTTTCAAGAAAAAAAATTTTTTTTTCTTCTCGAAATTGACTTGAAGATTGCTATAGGCAACGCAAGACATTCTTTTTGTCAACCGGTGCAAATGTATGCTGGTTGATTATGCTGAATGTTTTTTCGGCATTATGCATGTCAATTATTTATGAAACACACAAGAGAATGAAACAAAAACAATTGAATTTGTCAGTTAGTTTTGTTTTTCATTGCTGCAAAGCTAAATTCATCATTTTTATTGTCATTTGAATAAATTAATTTCAATCCGGGGATACAGGAAAAAGCAGAATTCCGGTTTGAAAAACGAAAAAACGAAAAAACTAAATTAAATTAAATTAAGCTAAAAAAAAATTCTAATTAAATTAACCAAATCAATCAACTAATTATCCAATGAGAAAAACAAGGAGAAAATTTTTTTTCAATTTGATGATTAAAGATTTTCTTTTTTATCAATATTTTTGTTCTTATCTGATTGATTGATTTAGCTTGAAGCTTAGCTTGTTTTCCATTGAAAAAACCTGACCTGTCAATCATTTCAACGCTTAACAACGACGACAACAACAACAAAATTCTTCTTTTTTCACTTCAGAATTTATTTTGATTTGGATTTTCAGTTTTCAATTTTCAGTTTTCTTCGTCTCCCAATAAGACACCCAGATAGTGTTAATCTTTTTTTCGGATTCAATGCGCACTCGAAATAAATAAATACAGATAAAAATAAGGTTTGTTTCAGTCGTCGTTCATCCATCATATTCACTCGAACATTCTTGGTGATGATGTTTATATTTGTTGATAATAATTTGGCCTACAAAACAACAAGCAAAAAACCCTGGTAAAAATGATTGAATGTTAATGAAAAAAAAGCATAACAACCAAAGAATTTAATACCAAACAACTATGCAACAACATGATGATGATGATAATGATAAAGTCGAAAAGCTTAATTGAAAAAAAAATAATAAACTACAACCACACCGCTATTTTGCATCAGTCACCTAACAACAACAAGGAATTTCTTTACTTTTTTTTCTGTGTTTGTGTGTGTGATGTGTGTTCGTGTTTTCACATAAATTCAGTGAACAAAAAAAAATCACTTTTTCAAACAAACCAAAAAGCAACTGCAAAAAGATTTTAATTCCAGTGATTTTTTTTTCGCTGGTCGCTGATTTGGTCAAACCGTGATCACGTAAAAGAATCACGTAAAATTCTGGACACCAAAAAAGAATTTCTGTTTGTTTTGTTCAGTTGTTGTGTGTGTGTGTGTGTGTGCGTAGGCGGATTGAATGAAAAATTTCATTCTTCATTTGTTTCTCTCAATTTATTAGCTTTGGAAGGAGAAAAGATACTTATCATCATCATCATCAACAGTGTTTTGGGGATGCAATTTTTCAATCAAATGAGAAATTGAAAGCGAAAAACCCTTAAACAAAAAGAAAATTTTCGAAATGGTCAGCAAAATGATGAAAGTTTTATGTTTAGTGTTTTCTGGAAACAATTTCTTATTCAAGTTTCTTTTTTGTTTCATTGTCCAGTATTTTTTTTTTCTTCTCACAATTCACAAATAAAAAAATTGTCTCCATTCATACGGAAAAATGTTTGCTGTTGTAGTATTTGTTTTTGAAAGAAACTTTACTTTATTTTACTTTACTTTACTTAGAATTTTCAATTTCAAAACATTTAATCATTCAATCATCTGGATATTATTATTATTATTATTAAATTTTCAATTGAAAATTGTTCAATTCAGCAACGACGATAAGAACAAGATTTTCTTTTCTTGACAATTTTCAATCATTCACTTTGAATGGACAGAAAAAAAAATTCCCGAAGAAATTCCGGTATTTCGTTTCGGTTTTTAGAATGGTGATTTGTTGTTTTCAATTAGCCAAAGTAATTCTATGATTTTTTTTCTTTTATTCTGTCTGAAACAAAAACAAAATACCCAAAAATAGAAACAAATACATTTAATAAATTTACTGCCCGATATTTCAATGTTTCAAGAATGGAATCCATTCCTTTTTCGACATATATAATAAAAATCGATCATCAAATCTGATTAATGTTAATGTTTCGTCGTTGTCGTCGTCGTACAACTAGTGAATCGAAAAATGGATTATAAATGCTAAAATCTATTTCACTTTCGCTTAAAGTTTTTTTTCTCTGAAAGAATCAATTCAATTCAATTCAATCCATTAAGACAGAATCGATCAATCAATCAATCAATCAACCGTTAATTGAAATTAGTTTTTATTTTTTTTCAAAATGGATTATCCAGGCTATTTTTAACAACAACAACAATAATAATAATTTTACCTTGTTATTTGATAAAAATAGATTTGTAATTTTTTTTTGTGGATTTTTTCTCTTATTAAATCTGTTCATCTGATGACGGATGTTATTCGAGAGTGAAAAAACGTGATTAGAAATTAATTAATTAATTAATCCTTTCTTCCCCTCTCGACCGAGAATGAAAACAAAATTGAACCTTGATGTTCGACAAATAAGAAAAAATGTCAAGTCATTCGTCAATGACATTGGCCATTAACTATCATACTGAATGATTGATGAAATTCTATTTCCAAGTTTTCCAAGTTTTCGTTAAATTCTTTCCAAACAAAAACAAAAATCTATAATTGAATTCATCATCATCATTAAGATAATGATGATAGAATTGAGCATCATTAACATCAAAACTGAATAATTAATGGAAAGGAAAGAAAAACATCATCATGTAAATACATAATATTTATATTTACAAATTGAAATTTTCCCTTTGCTTTGTTGTTAATGATGAATTTGAACAGCAATTCCTTTGTGCGTTTAATCAAAATTGCTGATGTTGTCGAAATTTTAATGGTAAAAAAAAATTTCCCAAAAATTTTCCATCATCATAAACAAAGGGAAAAACTTGAAAAATATCCAAACAAACAAAAAAACATTTACGTAATCAAATTATGATCATCATTAGAGTTGTTGTTGTAAAACATTTAGCATGTTTATTTCGCAATGATAACCTTTTTTATTTATTTAAAATTGAACCATAATCAACAACAATAGAAAGGTGGAACCCTGAAAAATTAAAAAACAAAGACAAAACAAATGTCAAAGTATCATGATGATAGCCATTGATCCCATTGATCTATTCAATTCTATACAAAAAAAAACTAATCAATCAATCAATCAAATAAATCGATCAATCATTTTATTATTATTGTCATTATCATTTTATTATTATCAAGTTCAATAGCGAAAAATTCTCATCCAATCGTGTCGTTATCACTAATACTTTTCATTTTTCATTGTTTTCAATGTTTTTTTTTATTTATTTACTTTTTTTCTTCTCATTATTTCAATATAGAGATTCATTATGATTATCAATTAATTATCCTTCGCTTTCCTTCATTGTTCAATGCTGGAAACAAAACGAAACAAAACAAAAACAACAACAGCGAAAAAAACTTTATACAAACTTCTCACGCAATTTGTCAACTGAAAAATGTAAAAAACGCATCGAAATAAATCAAGTGATCAGAAAAATGACAAAATCCTTTCACAATCTGATAATCATCATTATCAAAGTTCAGATAAACTATGAAAAAAATATGAAATTTATTCATTTTGTACGAATGTGAGTGAGCATAAGTTTTTGTTTGTTTGTTTGTTTGGTTTAATAAAAAAGAAACCCTTCATCTCGGAATTCATTTTGAAAATGTTTTTTTTGTTATTGGTGCAACGATGAAATGAAATAATTCAACCAACCAAAAAAAAAAAAAAAAAAAAAAAAAAAAAAAAAAAAAAAAAAAAGAATGAAAAACAACAACAACAATGACAATGTGAAAAGGATAAAACGGAAAAAACAACCAACCAATTCAATTCAACCATTTTAATTTGAAAGTCATCATCAAAATTCATTACCATTTTTTTAATCATGTTGAAGAATTGAATTGAATTTGATTCTGTTTTTGTTTGTTTTTTGTTTTCATTTCATTTCATTTCACCGTATTCGCCACACGTAAACGGTTTTTCTGTGTTTTGTGCTTTGTGTTTTGATTGTTTCAATTCTTTTTCAAAGAAAAAGGATTATTATTTTTGTTCAGAAAAAATCTACTAATCCGAAAGTGTTTGATTCATTGCCCGAAAACATAGATTCAATTCATAGAATTTCTGTGATTCAATTCGTTCTGTTTATTTTCAAAAAAAAGCAAATCTTTTAAGTGGTAAATTAAAAGAAAAAATGTTTGCACAACTTATGTGTTTTGATGGTGTTTAAATAAAATTTTTTTGGTTTTCAAACTTGACACTTTTTTCCCCTCGTTGAATCCAAAAAAACGTAACATAATATTTTTGTTTGTTCAATCAACCAACCAACAGAGAGATAGAGAAAGATAGAAAAATTTGTTGAAAATGGAAATTTATTCAACACATAATCGTTTTGGTGAAACACCATCATCACAAACAACATTAACAATACCGGCTTCAAATGATCAACAACAAAATAATCAAACAACATCATCATCATCGGCACCATCATCACCAACAAAATCACCAATTGGATTTCAAGATTTTATTAATAAAGATGGTGGTACAAGTGGTGGTGGTGGAAAACGTACGGTAAAATTTCCTGAAGATCATTCTATTGTTACCGGTTATCATGAAGCACCCGATCCATTTGGTAAGAATATTTTTAATTTTTCCCGTTAATTTCCCCGGAAAATTTTCAATTTTTTAAAAAATTTCCGGAAATATTTCCATCCTTATTATTAATCCCTTGATGATTATTCATTAATAGATTCATTTATTGGATAATGTTTTGATAATGCACTTTAGACATAATAAGTATGTGCCTTTTGTGTTTGTTTTAACATTCGGAAAAGAAAATTCTGTTAACTCCGGTAACAGAATTTATCTCTAAATTGCAAATTGTTAACAAACGAAACAAGCAATCAAGAAAACAACGAAACAAAAAATGTCTCCCTCTCTATATATGAAAAAAAGGAACATCATTATAATGGAAACTCTCGACAAACAAACAATGTTGATAATAATAATGATGACCGAATTGAGAGAAAATATGAAACAAAAAAAGACCCCAAAGCATATAAATTACTTTAGGGAAAAAAACAACAACAACCAACCGAATAACAAAAAGACATTATCATATTCTATGACCGAATTTTCTTTTTTGTTTCAAACATTAGAAGTAGATGCAGAATTTAGAAACAAACACCATAGACATCATCATCTTCTTTATTTTGAAAAAAAGAAAGATACCGAAAAAAAACAGTTAAGGAAGATATTCGGGAAGAAAATTCTTTTTTTGGATACCAAGTATCTTTGGTATGCCATGGTTGTTGTTCCCGAAACAAAACAAAAAAACCAAGTCGAAATAGTGTTTTGTTATTTGCAAATTTTCTCCTTTTCTTCTTCTCTTTCTTCACTAAAAAAATTCATTTACGTCATTTATTTTTCCGTTTGTCATGGCAAGGAAGAAAAATTTCACAACAACAACAACAACAACAACAGAATGAAAATTTATCCTGAACCAAACTGAAAAAAATGATAATGAAAAATTTCAACAGCTTGAATGAATGAATGAAGATAGTGTGTGTGTGTTCGGGCGTGAATGGAAAATCGTTCTTTCGTTTTTCGTTTTTTGGAACATAAATATTAATCAAAAAAAAAAGTAAAAATAACTTAATAATACAAAAATTTTTACAAAGCTTGTTGTTGGTCATTATCGGATGAATTGGAGTTTTTTTTTGTTTGAAAAATTTGACAGAATTTTTCATTGAATGAAAAATATATTTTTTCTTCCATTCGGACAAATAGTTATACAAAAGTAATAATTCCAATGGATATTTGATGAGATTTTTTGTTGGTTTTGTTTTTTATAATTGGCTAAATTTCATCATTTAAAATTCATTGAGATTCGGATGAATGAATGGATTTTTCAAATTTTTTGAAGAGGAAAACAAATTAACAATTTAACAGAATGATAATATCAATGTGAAAATTTGCAATCGAAAAAAAATAAAATAGAAAATCAAAACATGCTTCAAAATAAGGATTCTACTGAATTAGCTTTTTAAGTTTTAGTTTTCCTGCGAAAAAACTCATGTTAATCACATTACTAAATGTGTTACAAAATGCAAAAAAGACGACGATAAAAAAAGAGAGATTTGAAGAAAAAAACTAACACTAAAACATCATTATAAGATTATCATTCGTTTTCTTTTCTAGTGAAAATTGAAATTCTTTTTTTTTGAACAAGGAGAAAAAAGAAACAAAATTTAAATTAAAATTTAATTTACAAAACACATATACACATGCACAGCAAAGACATACAGCAAATAGGCTATTTCTACTTTCATGTGTCGAAAACATTCATTTTTCGGGTTTGATTGAATTTTTTTTTCATTTTCATCATCATCATTATTGATCACACACTTGTCATGTACAGTGTGTAAAGTGAATCGATTTTGTTTCCCATTTACCGTTGTTCGATCAATAGATTGTTATAATAGAAGTGGAAGAGAAATTCAGACAAGCATCATTTGTTATTGTCATAGTCGTCGTCATGTTTTTACATTGGAAAAAAATGTCCATTTCTTTTGTGTACCATACCATAGTGGTTTTTCCAGATTTCAATCATGAAAAATTTATTCAAATTTATTCCATTTCAAAAATTCCTTCAATGTGCCATAATGATGATGATAAGTCGGAAGGAAATCATTATTATTATGATACTTTTTTTTAAACTTGAAACATTTTATTGCCAAATGAACCGAATGAGACAACCATTAAATGTTTTCTGTAATTTCCAAAATATTTTCTTTTTGATAATAATTTTTCATTTTTTTCGTTTTCTCGAAATAGCAACGGCTGATCAAGAAGAAGATGATCAAGATTTGGATACAATTATTGATGCATTTAAAGATGCATGTGCCAAACAAAATATCGAACCAATACCAAGTGTTTTGGAACAAATCAAGGTAAATATTTTTATTTTTATTTTTTTGTAAATGAAAGAAATTTGCCGAAAAAGAAAAAATTTCCCATTAATTTATAATGCCTTTTGGCTATCAATTCAAGTTAATGATGCAAAATTTCTCGATAAATGAATGATGTAAATTGAATTTTTGTATAGATATGGTTGAATTAACCAATGAAAAACAAAAATGCAAACAAAAACGTAATGAATTTATGAACAAAAGAAACAGAAAAAGCTATAGTTTCATGTCAAAAAGTGATGAGAGAAAAATTCCAGTTTTCTGTCAGGATAATATTCATAAAAATCAATTTTATCTAAAAGGATTGTAAAATTCTTTGTAAAAAAATTCCAAATCCTTGCAAAAAAATTTTTTGCTGCTTTGACATTGAAAAAGACATTTTTCATCCATGTAATTTTTGTTGTTTGTTGTTGTTGAAAATATCATTAAACTGAGAAAAATTTTCATTTTCTTTCATGCGAAAAAAATTTGAAATAATAATTTTTCATTTTCCCTTTTTTCATTTTTTCAATAGAATTTCAAATCGATTCGTGTACGGGCACAGGATCTAATTCTTCGTGGTAAGTCAGTAAACACACACACAAAAAAAATTTGTTTTTCATCCATAAGAAGAACAGAAATTCAATTCCAACAAAATCCGGCAATAAACAAGTTGAATAACAAGAGAAAAAAATATACACACTCAAATAATATATAGAGGTAGTGAATATTGAAAGTTTGTTATTCAAAAAAAAAGTTAAAAGTTTTTATTCAATTTTTTTTTGTAATATTGTGAATATCGATAATAAAACCACCACCACCACCACCGCCGATAAAGCAAACATATTTTTAGTTTTTTTTAAAACTTTTTTTTTAATATCTTTCCTTTGCTATGCTATAGAGATAATTTGTGACCACATATAATATGATTAGCGAGAGAAAGATGATGATTACTTTTTTTTGTGAAAAGTTTTTTGTTTGCTTTTTTTAATTAATGAATTTATGGAGAATTTTGGTTCGCGCCTTGTTTTAGGCTCTTTGTTTTAGAGTCTGTCTGGGTGTGCGTCGGTGTGTGTGTGTGTCAACGTATGCTTTACGGTAATTAGTTTCCGTTATCTAATTTGATTTTCATTATGGGATGATGATAAACTTTTTTTGTTTGTTTGTTTTGAGGTTTTTATTTAGAAGAAATTTTACCTTCACAGGCAAAAACAAAACGACAATGATTTTAACATTGAATCAAAAAAATTGAACTTTGCTATCACAAATGAATATCATCAAATATATTTTACACAAGAGAAGATGCATAACTTTTACATTTACAATGTATGTATGTAAACATAAGGAATGAAAATTGAAGAAAAACAAACAAAACAAAACATTAGTTTTGAACAATGTAGTTGCAAATGAAGATAAATGATAATAACCATAAGAAAAATCATCATCATCATTATCATCAATTAATATGAAACTTTTTCTGTTTACAGAATTTCAGAATTCAGAATTTCAGATCCAAATATTATGTTTTTTTCCTTGATCATAATGGTATAACAACAGCAACCGAAATCGATCGATTTGGTTTGGTTAATGATGATTCTCTCTCAATTCTCAATTGTTGTTGTTATTGTTATTCTCGGGAAAAATATATTACCAAAATATTATTTTTTCTTACAGCCAATTTTCCTATTTTTCACCAGAATAATAAATAAATGAATGAAAAAAATCAATAAAGATCCATTTCTTTTATTGATTCACTAAATAACCAAACCATTGAAAAGAAAAAGAAACCACCGCTACTCACTATTCTTATATATACCTTTTTCGAAAAACTTGAATATTATTTTCGGATATTTGCATATTTTTCCTTCAATTCAGTCTAATTCACGAATTGAATCGACTTTTGAATAAACTTTTTTTTTTGGTGAATGAAGCACAGAAATGAAATGAAATAAATGTGAAAAAGATGTGAGATATCACAAGCACAATTGTGACAATAACATCATCATATGATGGCTTTGAAGCAAAAGAAACTGTGTGTCAAGAATTTTAATATTTGATAAGATCTAACCTAGTTTTATATTTGCCTTCTCGTATGATATTTGCATACATTTTTGTTTGCGTAACCTTATCTAATAGAATAATAGTTTTTCTGTGCCTGATTAGTTATCAGGCCAAAAAGAAACTTGGAATGTTAAATGGAAAAAAAGAGATGTTAAAGACATTGAATTGGTTTACTCTTTCTGATACTTTGATAATGATAATGATCATTGATAAAACTTTATTTAACTTTTTTTTCTTTTCTTTTCTTATTTAATAAAAAAATGTTTCCAAGACACAATAATCAGAAGGAATCTCTTGAAGCACTTGTGCTTAATAAATTGACAGCTTGATGTTTTTGTTGTTGTTGTTGTTGCTGAAATTTAAATATATTAACATCAGACAACAACAACAACAACAAAATTATTACATCAAACCAATCGACTAACTGACTGACTGACTGACTGACATATGACTTTGTATGCCTATTTTGTCTTGTTTTTTATTCAGTCGCTGTTGTTAAGTTTGAATATTATTATTAAAGTGCTTGTTATACCAAACAAAAAAAAAACATTTCCCAGTTGAATTTTCGATCGTATATTGGCGAAAAGGAGGAAAAAGTTTTTTCACCTATTCTTTCTCTCTCTCTCTCTCTCTCTCTTTGTGTATTCTTGACACATATTTCGGAACCAGAACTTGAATTACATTGAGTGTGAACGAGCGAGAGAATAACTTTTCTCTTGTTTCTATTTCAACATTGAAAAAAATTTCATTTTGATGATGATGATTTATGATTCTTGATTCTTGTTTCTTGTTTTCAGCAAGCAAGTAGCTTATTATTATTACACACAACAGTGTCGATAATAGCTTATTATTGATCGGATTTTGTTATTTTTGATATCTTTTTTTGCTTGCTTGATACTTTGTTTCCAACATCTTTTTTTGATGAAAATTTATATCATTCATTCATTCATTTTTCTGCTTTTTTCATTCAATTCTGTAAAAAACATTTCTTCATTATTTCTATCAGGACAAAAATTGGATCCACATCAATGTGAAGTATTGGAAGAAATATTTAAACGTGTTCTTTTCCGTTTGATTGATCTTGATTCATGTGATCTTGATTGTGACGTAAGTTCATTTTTTTCTACTTTCGTTTTTTATATTCCTTCCTTCCTTCATATTCACTAAAGATTTAATCCCATACTATACTATACTATAGTAGTAATGTAGTAGCGACAGTTGATTACTGATAAGAATTTTCTATTTACTTTTTTTCCATCATCATCATCATCATTTTGATTTCAATGATGAAATTTGACATTTATATTTTTCCTTCGTTTTTCGCTATTCATATATTCGCTATTATGGTGGAAAAACTAATCTTTTTTTCACTGATTCTCCAAAAAAACAGGGTGCTTCGGCTTTATTCGATATGATTGAATTTTATGAATCAGCATCACATTTATCGATTGCAAATAATAAATCTATTGGTATTATTGGTTGGCAAGCATTATGTCGTACATTGAAAAAGGTTTGTTTTCGTTCATTCATTCATTCATTCATTTGGTCGTTCGTTTACTAAAGTCATTATCATCCGAAATTCCGTTTCATTTCCTTTTTTTCCCAAACGAAAACAAACGAAAATATAATATCTACAAAAAAACAGACATCATGTTTACAATATTTAGATTTAAGCAATACTGGTTTAAATGAACAAATATTATTATTTATGGGTCGTACTATACGTGTTGGTTCACATTTAGTAACATTACATTTAGAGAATGCCAATCTTTCTGGTAGACGTTTGGCAATATTGGGTAAATTTTTTTTATAATAATAATTACCGTTACATTAATAACATTGATAATGTTTTTCTCCCACCACCACAACAAAAAAAAGTATCATCAATAAAATTCAATACAAGTTTACGTGAATTATATTTGGGTGAAAATAAAATCAGTTCAGCTGATTGTGTACAAATTGGTAATCTATTACGTGGAAATAGTATCTTAAATGTATTAGATTTAAGAAATAATTTCATACAAGATACTGGTCTGGATCATATTTGTGAAGGTTTACAACATCAACCATTATCAGCACCATCAACATCAATGTTTAGCCTATTTGATCCATCCAAATCATTATCACCTAATTTAATGTCACAAAATGCTGGTATTTTAATATTAAATTTAAGTAATAATCAATTAACAAATCGTGCTATGAATCGATTATCACAAACATTGGTAAGAATATAATTTAATTTAACCCTTTTTTTTCTTAAATAAATGTTTAATTTTATTTTCAAAAAAAACCAATAAAGTCACAATGTCGATCATTAATTGGCCTGGATTTATCATATAATTCATTAGGTGATGAAGGTATTTTAATCCTAAAAGAAGGTCTATTACAATCAAAAACATTAAAATATTTAAATTTATCATCAACATTTATCAGTAATGAAGGTATTATTTACATTATCAATTTACTTTTATAAATTACTTACTTAAGTAATTCAAAATTTTTATTACTAGGTGCCATAATTATTGCTGATATTTTACGTAACAGTAAAAACCTGACAATAATCGATCTAAGTTTGAATGATGTTGATTTGGATGGTGTTATTGCCATACGTGATTCGCTTAGATTGAATAAACAACATCATTTAACTAGATTAATTTATCAACCACAAAATAATAATCAACATTTACAAAATAATATTAAACAATTATTCGATGAAATTGATAGCTATTTAAATGAACATCATCATTGTCGTCATAATGAACCGATTGATGAATTTGATTCAATTTTAAATGGTTTTTTACGTAGTGATATTTCTGTTTATCAAGAAATTGAAATTGATCTTGATGAAAATAAAGAAAATGATAATAATAATAATGATAATTTCTATACCTGTGATACAACAACAACAACGGCAACTAATGTTAATGATGATAATGATAATGATAATGATTCTGGTAGTAAAAAAGCATTTTTATCACGAACATCAAGTCTTGGTTCATGGGAACGACCAGTAAAATCTGGTCGTTTTAGTGTTTCACCAGTTGATAAGGAAAATGATCAAACAAATTCTTCCACATCTAATACAACTTCCATACAAATAAAAATTGAACAAGATCAAAGTGAAAATTCAATGTTAAACAATCGACAACAGCAGCCGACAATATTGGAAAATAGTTCAGATGATAATGAAGATGGTTCAGATTTATCTGAACAAGAAACAGATATGTTACCAGAATTACCAACATGTTTTATGAAAAATAAAAATCGTCTATTGCAACCACCATCAACAAAATCAAGATCATTTCGACGAATGAGTTCACCTGCAATATCGGTTGCCGGCTTAGTTAAACCTCCAAAACCTAAACATAATCTGACATTAAAATTATCCGGTAATTTAGAAAGTCTTGATCTCAAAAGTTCATTGCCTTTATCACCAACATTTTTTGCCAAATTTGGTAAGTGTAAAGCAAACAACAAAACTAAATCTTATCAATTGGTTAACCAATCAACTTTTCTTTTTGTTTATTAGATTTTTCCGATATATCATTATTACGTTTACCGGCCGATGTTGAAGAAATTGTTTCAAATATTGATTATTCAATAACCGATGATATTATTGAACAATTTGAAAAATTTTATTATGAAAAACCGTCCAAACATACAAAACAACAACAACAACAACAACCACAATGCGTATGCTGAATGAGAGAAAAACAAACAAACATTTTCAACAAAAAAAAACACATTAATTTTTCAAGAATATCACATTATTCTTCCTATTATTTTGCTTACTTGCTTCCAATTCTCTTCTCTCTCTCTCCCGCTCAAAATATTCAATTCTTTTCGTTTTTGATGAGAAAAAATATCGCGTGGGTGTTTCGTTACCCAAAATGGTAATCACTGATAAACAAACAATGTTATGTGTGTGTGTGTGATGAATAATATTGGTTTTCTTTTCCAAAAAAAAACATCTCGTAATAAGATTGACATATTATATACGACAACACAGAAAAAAATATTTTCCAAAAAACTAATTAAAGTCAGGAGAAATTTTCCATCAATTTTATTCCGGAATTCAGTTATTCATTCATCGGGAGAGAGCAAAAAGAGCTCAAAATCAAAATTAATGAGATTCAAAGGAGAGTGAGAGGAAGGAAAGGAAAGAAAAATAACCCTCACACACACACCGAATGAGAAAAAGAAGATTAGGTTTATTTGTTTGTCGTTATTATGTTATGTAATGTAATGTCTTTCAGCACAGCACACAAACAACAACAACAACAACAAAAGATGGATGGATTGATTATAAGAATAATGAAAAAATAAAATTATGATTACCATAGGGAGTGAGAGAGAGGAGAAAACGTAAAGAGAATTACAAAAAAAAAACATGAATATAATTTACATGATAATAATGATGATGTTGTTGTTGTTAGTAATCATCATCAACAACAATTTTTCCATTTTCCCGAATCATCTTTTTAACAAAAATAATCCATTCGTCAAGAATCTTACACACAAACACACACACATCGCTATTATAATAAGAATATTTTTATCGTCGTCGTTGTTGTTTTTTTTTTCACTGTGAAAAAAAGAAAATTTAGTTTTTAAAAAAATTTTAATCACTGTTTACACAATTTTTATTATTTGATTGATTGATTGATTGATATTGTTGTTGTTGTCGATGTAACACACTGAATTTTAACTTACTTATCGTTTTTTTCTTCCTGTTCTTCTTCTTTTTCTTGGAAAACAACATTGTATAATTTTGTTGACTAAATTAAATCAAAATAAAAGAAAAAAAAATTTATTTCAAAAAAAAAATCAAAATGAAAATGAACGCCATCTTTCGATGAGAATGATAAAACGAATCAAGAATGTACAATTTTTTGTCACATAGATGGCGTTCGTTTTTAATTGTTTCAATGAAATTGAATGAAAGAATATTCTCGAGATTTTCATTGACATTTGATTTTGTTTTTCTTTGGATAAATTTCAATGAAAAACTATGAGAAAAAAAACATCTGGCCATTTTTAAAAAATGTAAATTTCATTATTGTTAAAAGTCAAAACAAAAACCTTGACAAAAATGAAATGAAATAAAAATAAAATTTCTTTCTATTTTGAAAAAACAAAAAAAATCCGGAACTCGACCAAAAATCATCATTATTATCATTGTTTTTTGTTCAAATGCAATTAAATTTACCTGTACACACGCCTTATTCATATTCATATTCCTAATTTCGTCGAAACAATCCAACTCAACTTGAATTGCACACAAATTACAATTGCAAACAAAACAAAAAAAAGGCTTCTGTATATTGGTTGATTGTTTGTTTGAATATGGAAACAAAATCATCAAACAAACAAACAGCACCTGTTTTTTTTATTGTATCGATTTTCATTCGACAAAAAACAACAAAATGAAATGAGGATTCGTCAGAATAATGAATGAATGAAAAACTGCAGCAATCATCGAATAGACGTTGTCAAATCTGAATTTTCAATCGAAAATCAATCAGGCTAATTGAATTCAAAATTGTTTTTCAAACGAAAAAGGACAAAAAAACAAAAACAACAAAACAATTGTATCATGTCGAATGTTTTTCAGTATTGATTGAATCCTTGGATAAATTTTTACCTGTCTGCTTGTTGATGATGTTTTCAATTTCCAATTTGCTGCCATTAATTATGCCAAACAAACAAACAAACAAAAAAACAAGGTTCAAGTTCTCTAATTTCATTTCCATTCAATCAATTTTTTGTTGATGTTGTTTCTGTTCATTCATTAATTCAAACATCCAGGTTAATTGATAAGATTTTACAATCTAAGAATTACAATATCTCTTTGAATATAGATTAAGAATGTTAATGATCAGGATTCAGCAAAAAAAAAAGAAAAGAAATCAGGTCTATTTTGTCAAAATAGTTTTTTTTCCTGTCTTGTCATTTGTTTCACATCTTAATCATCACTATCATCATCCTCATCAGATTTTTTTCGATTAAATTTTTAATTAAATTAAATTAATTAAAATTTTTTCTGCAATCAGGTTTTCCGCTTCAAATCATGATGATGTTTTTTCTCCTGTGTCATTTGGTGTAGAGATTTATCACATTTTCTTTAGCAGAAATCATTCTCGTGAATCATAAATCAATTTTTTTAAATTAGAAAAAAAAAGATTTTCAAGTGTGAAATCCAAAACAAAAACAAACAAAAAATCTTTCGGTCTAAAAAAATGGCTANATCAAACAAACAAACAGCACCTGTTTTTTTTATTGTATCGATTTTCATTCGACAAAAAACAACAAAATGAAATGAGGATTCGTCAGAATAATGAATGAATGAAAAAC